TTTTTTTAGATTTTGCAACTTTGAACAAAAAATTATTAGTAAGATTATTAAAAAATGAATTAAAATAATTTTAATACTATTAAACATGTTTATACTTTTTATTATCAATGTTAAAACTTGTTTTAAACAAATTTTTAATTTTTAATTTTAATTTTCAATAATTACTAAATTTATAAAAACCAAATACTTTAAATTAGTCATTCATGATGCTTCCACTATTAATTTCTCCTAAATACTTTTATTCTTATCCTTGTTTCACTTAAGTTTTAAGGCACAATTATTAGCTTATATCCAACAATTTCATATATGCAGGAACTCTTTAATGGACGTCATAGAACCAGTCGTGAATATTGTGAAGGATGTTGTACCTACAGTTAAGAAATATTTCAAGTATCAGATACGTCACAATGATTATGTCAATGAATTCAAAGAAATGCAAACACAGCTGAAGCGCCGACGGCAAGACGTTGAAGAAGAACTGCATGCTCAACTTAGGCAGCCAGGGAAGATTGCAAAGAAGGAAGTTCAAGCTTGGCTAGAGAAAGCAGACCAAGAAACTGCAGAAAAAGTGGTTGAAGATCTAATCTGCAAAGGGGGCTTTTTGACATATATTTACTCCTCAAGAAAGCTCGATGAAAGGACTCAATCACTGACTGAAGGAATATTTAAGCAAGGAGAAAAGTACACTAGTGCCGATGAGAGTTTGGTCGTAGATACTCCCTCAATTGAGTATTGGGCAACTGTATTTGAAGAAAAGCAGGAGAGGCTAAAGCACCGAAAGGAAGATGTTGAAGCAAATTTGAAGACTCAGCGTATGCAACCTGGAAAGATTGCAAGGAAGGAAGTTGAAGAGTGGCTAGAGAAAGCAGGCCAACAGATTGGCATAAAGGTTGAAGGTCTGATCAACCAAGGGGGATGCTCCTCTCTATCCAACCTCAGGAGAAAAATTGAAGAATTGAAGCAAATATTTGAGCAAGGAGAAAAATATACTAATGCTGGTGAGAGTTTGGTCACAGATGTTTACTCAAGTGAGCGTGGTGCAGCTGTATTTAAAGAAATGCAAGAGCAGCTGAAGCTCCGACAGAAAGACATTGAGGCAAAATTGGAGACTTTGCTTCGGCAGCTCGGAAAGATGGCAAGCAATGAAGTTAAAGACTGGATGGAGAAAGCAAGCCAACAGATTGACATAAAGGTTGAAGATCTGATCAGCCAAGGGGAATGTTCCTCTTCATCCAACCTCTGGAAAAAAATTGAAGAATTGAGGCAAATACTTGAGCAAGGAAAAGAATTCACTAATGCTGTTGGGATTTTGGTCATAGATGATCACTCAATCAAAGGATTTCCACTTCTAGTGGAAAAATGTAGTGGCAGGGATGATATACAAGAAAAAATTCTGGAATGGTTGAAGGGAGACAAGGTTGCAAGAATTGCAGTTTTGGGAATGGGTGGTGTGGGCAAGACAACAATTATGAAGAATGTCCACAACCAACAGTTGAATGAATCCAAATTTAAGAATGTTATTTGGGTAACAGTGTCAAAAGACTTTAACATTACTGTCCAGCAAAAAAATATTCTCCAGTTTCAGAAAAAGATTGCACGTAGCTTGAAACTAGAACGAGAGGCAGATCATGAGAATGAAACCACCAAGCTTGCTGCATTGATTTCACAAAGGTTGGGGCAGCTGGGCAGCTTCCTGCTAATTCTGGATGATGTGTGGGAGCCTTTTTCTCTAGAAGATGTTGGAATTTCTAATCCAGTTGGAAATAATGGTTGCAAGTTAGTGCTCACAACACGCTCAAAAGATGTTGCTCGTGCAATGGATTGTAATGTGATCCATGTCAACCCTCTTCCACCTGAAGAGGCATTAGAATTATTCTCGGAGAAAATTGGAGGTGATGTGTTTTCAGATGGAAAAATTAAAAGAGATATAGAACCATTTTTGAAGCAAATTTTGCAGAAATGTGATGGAGTACCCCTTGCTATTGTGACAGTGGCAAAATCAATGAAAGGGAAATTACTTCCTCGTCATTGGAAGTTGGCACTTTCTGAATTTAGTAAATTTGAAAGCATTATTGATTGTTTGAAATTCAGTTATGAATGCCTAGAACAACAATGCCGGGAGTGTTTTTTATGTTGTGCATTGTATCCTGAAGATCATGAAATCTCAAAGGAGGAGTTACTTGAGTATTGGATTGAGGAGGGGCTTATATATGAAGAAGGGAAAACTAGGGAGGCAATGGATTGGAAGGGTGATGATATACTTGATAAGCTAGTTGACAACTGCTTGTTGCAATCGATTAAAGGTGAATTCGGAGAAGAATTTGTGAGTATGCATGATCTTCTCCGAGAAATGGCACTGGAAATCAGTCCTCAATTCTTGGTGAAAGCCGACATAGCCTTGGAGAAGTTACCAGAGGAGCATGAATGGAGAGAAAATCTTTTGAAGGTTTCTTTAATGCGGAATCACATAACAGAAATTCCTTCAAGCATGCCGTCTCCAAAGTGTCCTATGCTCACAACCTTGTTGTTGTCCAGAAATAAGATTTCAACAATTCCAGAAGCCTTTTTTGAGCATATGCTTGGGCTCAAGATCCTTGATCTTTCCTGGAATGAACAGCTATGTAGGCTGTCGAGTTCTATCTTCAAATTGGAAAAGCTTACTACATTATTGCTATGTGGATGTGACTCCTTAAGAAAGGTAGCAGCATTATCCAACCTTGTAGGGTTAAAAAAGTTAGACCTTTCTTGGACATCAATTGAAGAACTACCACAAGGCCTCAACTTGTTAACAAATCTAAAATATCTTGGTCTTGGTGGAAGATTATCTGAAACACTTGATGAACCGCTACAAAATCTCTCCAAACTTCAGCATTTACGAGTAACTGTCAATCGCCGTGCCAAAACAGAATTTAAATGGGAGACGAGTGGAATTTGGGGGAAGCTTCAAAACCTTGAAAGGCTGGATCTTGATTGTGTGAATAACTTGAATATAGTGTTTGGGGAAGTGGGAGCAATTGCTGAGTCAGCATCGCTACCAGCTGGCACATTTTCCTCTCTTCAATATATTAGCGTTTCTGAATGTGATAAAATAAAGAAGTTATGCTCGGTAAGGTGGTTGGAATATCTTCGGAAACTACAGACTATTGAGGTTTATTGGTGTGAGCAACTGGAGGAGATAATAGGGTTTGAATCTAAAGAAGGAGAAAAAGTCACTCTACCCAACTTAGAAAGGTTGGAATTGATAAGTTTGCCCTTATTGAAGACCATCTATAGCGGTTCTTTGATTTGTGATTCCATCAAGAAGATTGCAATTGCTTCTTGTGAAAATATAAAGAGTGTTTTTTGGTCCGGGTTCAACCCACTTCCAAATCTTGAATATCTGGAACTTACAGAATTAAAGGATCTGAAATCTGTGTTTGATGAAGAAGGTCTTGGTTTATCGCCACGTGTACCTCCCACAAGCTTTTTCTCTCTTAAAGAAATTAGGGTTGAATATTGTGATCAATTAAAGAAGGTATTCTCATCTGGATGGCTGCTCTGCTACTTCCAATCTCTAGAGGCTATTAAGGTTTCAAGGTGTTCGCAAATGGAGGAGCTGATATCGTCATCGGCACATGAAGAAGAAAAAGTCACTCTACCCAAGTTAGAAAGGTTGGAATTGACAAGTTTGCCCTTATTGAAGAGCATCTGCAGCAGCTCCAGTGTGTTGATTTGTGATTCCATCCAAAGTCTGGGGATTACCTACTGCGAGAAGCTAAAGAGGATTCCTCTGAATTTTCCCTTGCTTGGTAATTCCCAATCATCTCATCCTTCTTCCCTCAAAGAAATTGTGGTATCCCCAGAAGAATGGTGGGAATCATTGGAATGGGACCATCCCAATGCAGAAGACATCCTTTTACCCTTCTGTTATTTCACCTGACATGGTGGTAGGGCGCACCGCAAATGTAAGCCTTTTAATCTTCAATTTTCCATTTCTGATTCAACTCAAGATGAGTTTTCCATTCTTAATAAATCTCTCTCTCTCTCATCTATTCTTTTCTCCCCCATTGGCAACAATTGGGATTCGGCTCGGTAACCACAAGAAAGTTGGAGGAAATCACATATGCACTAGTTGCTGTTGCTATTGGGTTTTCAATGTAATATAATCTTTGTTTTTATTTTGCTGTGTGTGCTGTGTGTTTAAATATATCCAATTTTAAGTGGAAAATTGGAAATGTTTGTTTCTTTATTTTCTTTGTAATGTTGTCTTTGAAACTGTGTGGGAAAAGGAATTGAAACTGTATTTGCTTTTCTTGTAATATGTATTTCAATTTATTGCATTTGCATATATCTTCAAATTTCATTCAGCAACATTATCATCATCAACAAAAACCGAGACTTACTTTCATCAACAATAGCGGCGCACTCTGTTACTTTATATTCTTAGAATTGCCCAAGGACTAGCATTCAAGTCGCCTTTTTTTTCTCTTTTTTTTTTTTTTTTGTGCATCATCAACATTAAACTGTATTTGCCTTTTTTTTCATCAACATTAGGTTCATTTATTTAAAAAATTTAGTAGTGTCACTATGAATCATGCATTACCTATTGCATGCTACCTTCTGTTTACCTTAGGGGATTTAGCAAAAATCATGTTGCCCTAGTTGCATGTGTATTGAGACAACTACAGGGGAAAATTTTAGAGCTTTCTTTGTCCTTTTTAAGTTTTCCTTAATTGTTACAGTTTTGCCATTCATTTCTAGCCTTTGCTGCCCTACCTCAAATTTGATTCCTTTTTTTAGTAGTCTCTATATTTGCTCTTAAAGATGTCTACTTTGGCGATGAAAAGATTGACCAGATATTAGTAGTTTCAGTACCCTTGCTTGGTATTTGCTAATCGTGCTTAAAGACCGTTATGCTGATATAGTATTTTATTTGTGGTATTGATGCAATATAAGATGTAAGAGCTTGGGAACTTTTTTTTTTTTTATCAGCAAGAGCCTGAGAACTTTCTTTGTCCTTTTTCTTAAATGTTTTGGTTTTGCCATTCATTTTCAGTCCTTGCTTCCCTGCCTCTTATTTGACACCTAGTTTCAAATTCGATCTCCATGTGTGCCCTTAAAGATGTCTGCTCCGACCATGGACAGATTGACTCAATTTCTGAAGGTGACTTCTTAGTTGGTTACAGTTCAGTACTCTCTTGCTGTTTTTATTATATCAAT